CTTGACTCTCTCAGCATGAGTCACTGCAGACAATATCTATCACACTACTCACAAGGGGAATGAACAGTAAATACTAGGTCCTAGAATTTTTTTTTTTAATAAAAAAGTCCGCTCAGTTGTTTCTCCGATTTGTATCCTTTATCCTCCTAGCCCTTGTGCAGTATAAGCCTCTCAAAGCTAATGCCCATAACACCACCCCCCACTGGTAGCAGCAGGCTGTTTTGCCGCTGTAGGGTTCACACGGCTCAGATTTACAATGACGGCCATTATTCTGAAAAGCCATGCATTAACCTAGTGGCACAAGGTTGCTCAAACTCCTTCCCCTCCGGTTTTACTTTTTCCTCTGGGGAGTAACAGCTATTACAGCAAAAGCTTCAGCTTTGGTGGTAGCAGCCAGGCAGACTTTGGTGTGGGGGAGAGAAGTGATCAACTAAGAGAGAACTTGAAAGAAGGCTGATGTCCTCTTGCCCAAGTGGCATCTTTCTGAAGGCCTGTGCAGCCCCGCCCCCCGCAGTTAGCACTGGCACTTTGGTTCTGACTATGTGGGCTATAAAGCAGGTTACATTGAGTGGAGCCTCTGAACAATGAACCTCAATGAACAAACAGGTCATTTCTTAATTCAATATGCCATTGCCACTACTGTTTCAAACCCAGTAAAAATGTGAAAATGGTAACATGGCACTGGATCCTATCAATTTAAACTTAACCTCAACAAAGCCAATGGGAATAATTGAAATCTCTTAGGAATTTGATCCCGTACATCACATCTGCTCATGGGGCATGACTTCTCTCCCCCATCCTGGGGAAAATTCTTCATTCTAAACCCCCCCCCCCAAAAAAAAAAACAACCTGTATTCCTGGAACAGGATTTTGGTGGAGGGTGTATTTCAGGCTGCTGCAGGAGGGAGAAGCCAAGAAAGTCAAACTCTTTGGTCAGAAGTCCTTGAGCCCACAGAAATGCTGTACCTGATCTAAGCCAATGTCTCTCTTCTTCAGACATTTAAAATTATGAAATATAGGGCTAACTGTACAGAAAAACCACCAAGGAGAATAGCAATCCGGTTACATTTTATTCAATATCATATTACATGAAAACAGTTACATCTGACAAACCATTACAACTTTCATAATACAGACAAATTACAAGTGGAAACAAACAAGATAACACTTACTTGACCATACTGTTTACTAAGCTGTCATTCTAAAGTGTGTGGATATATGTATACATATTTTATATTAACATTATTTTTGAGTACCAAACCCCTGTTAAAAAGAGCACCTTTTTGTGCCTCATATAAAGAATCCCAGCAAGGGAAGATTTTGTATGTAGCACTGCAGAAGTGCAGTTTTTGAGAGGAAGGGGAGAAGAGAACTAGGGAATTTTTAGTGCATCCGTTCAATTTTTGCTTTTAAGAATATTGCAAGGCAATAGCATATACAATTATCTCCATACCTTTATGCCAAGAGAGGAGACTGTGGTTATGGTGAATAACAGAACATAATTCTATTCGTACGAAATGTCATTCAGTACAGCAGCATTGCCATTTACTACATTAGGTTACCAACCAATAATATCCACAGGATTTTCTTTTTGTATGGAACATACTCTCTATATTCACCACACATTCAATTGGGTGCAGCATAAAATGAAGATACTCGGAGTCATTTGCCCTCACTGCGCTGCTGAGGGGAATTTTTATGACTTACATCAGTATGAAGATGAGACCTCTATGTAAAGTTTCTCCTATATCTTGATGAAAGGAAGACTTCCCCACCCAAGCTCTTCAGTCACTGGGTATCAGCGTTTCCTGTGCTTCAATAAAATAGTTCTGAGGATGCTATGTAGAGAAGCAGAGTCAATCATATTATACAAGGCTGAGGCATTCTATGTGTTTGTTAGGGCCCTCGATAAAGAAAGCAATAATGGAAGCAAACTGCCTTGTTAGTTTGGTTTACAGGAACCATCTGAAAAAGTAATTTCTATCTTCCCAGCTTTTCCCTCCATTTTCTCCACTGACTAGGAACTATCTTACCTTTCATTAATAGCTTTCTTCCTACAGCTTCCGAGCTGTCTTTAAGGAAATCTTTACAGGAACTGATTGGAACAGGAAAACTCTCTCACCTCTAATACCAACCACACTGGCCCAGCTCTTATGCTATCAGAGCAGCACGGTTGCTTCTTCCACCTCTGTCCCTGTTTTTCTACCACTCTAATAACATTGAAGGATAGAACCACGTGGAATAAGCAGATTATGCAGGACTAATAAGATCCCAAGTAATTTATGTTTCATATTTTACTGGAAAGGTATGGGATCCAACCATGGGGAAGCAGTAATGTCTTTATTTCAGTAACCTGAATCAGGCCACAGTAATTGATTAAGAAAATGAAAATGTGAATCAGTCCTTTCAAGTGCTTGGAAAAAAGATTTTTCTCTTGTTGACATCTAGAAAGTTTCCAATATTACGTATGGCGGTGGCGGGGGGTGGGGGGTGGAGCAGGAAAAGTAATCATTTAGAAAAATCCAGGATGCTGGGAAATATTTCAAGATCCTTATGGTTCTGGACTGTGTTATAAAAAACAGGATACTATATTATCATTACATGCAAAGTTGTGGACTTTGATGAGTAACTATAATGCACTAGATTCCCCACCCTACTTTTCCAGCCTTATGAAACCATCCTTCTTAAAATCATGTTATTCTGACATACAGCGTTTTACTGACATGCTAATGATTTATCCTCCTTTTCACCCACCAAAACTTAAAGTTACCAGCCTGAAATATATGGCATTATTGGACTCTCAGCACCTTAATGTCAATGTAATCTTTCCCCACTTATGAGCTTGGAATGACTTCTGTGAAGGTACACAAATAGACATCATCATTAGAACTGAGAATCCATGCCCTGACCGGGACAGCCCAGGCAAGGCCCAATCTCATCAGATCTTGGAAGCTAAGCAGGGCTGATCCTGGCAAGTACTTGGAAGGGTGACCTCAAAGGAATACCAGGGCTGGGATGCAGAGACAGGTTATATCAAGCCACCTCTCTGAAATGCCCAAGCCCCACTAGGGGTTGCCAGAAGTCACTATGACTTCCAGGCTCACAAGCGCACACACACAAGCGCACACACAAAATACTCATCCCGCCCCACCCCCCCCCCCCCCCCAAAAAAAGAACAGAGAATCCACAGAAGTTCTACAGGAAAGATTCAGGAACAGAAACTGACAATTGATAATGCTTGAAAAATTGTGTGGATTTTAAATTCTTACACAATTTCTAATATTTCTTGGGAAATCACTCCAAAAGCCCTTATGAAATATTTGGGTAGGGAACTGATGCACAGATTTTGAATATTACGTTCAAAGGCTTAATGGCAATCTTTTTTTTTTTTTAAAGGAGCCTTGAAAGCCCACATAATGTGCACATACTCTAATCCTAAGCAGCAGCACTGAACTTTTGATTTATTGTGGATAGTAAGGTGCAACATATTTAGCCTATGGAAGGAAGCACTTCAGTGGAATTCTTCTCTACATCAAACCATCAGATCCTTCAACAAGGGGTGTAATTGTTTACCCCTCTCCTTAAGCTGCCAAAGAAGAAGATTTACATCTAAGAATATACCCTCATTTTCCTAATTGAAACCCTTGCTCCAGTCTCAAAAATTCCTCACATTTTTGCAAACACAATGACTTTTTTTGAGACTGAACCTCATCCTGAAACATCTAGATGGCATATATCTCGAACCTGACATAGGAGATCACATACAAATGGCTGCATACGAAACTCAAAGCAAATAATAGTTAAGGCATTTATGTTTGAAATATGCTATTAGACTTAGTGATACGGAATTTGTAAAAAGTAGCAAATAAGTTCAAGATGCTGAGACATCATTTTGGAGACTGTAAGCATTTTTACTTCTATGTAGTGACTTAGAACAATTTCACAGTTTACAATCAATCAATGAATATTTACCATTGTTCCCTATAAACAAGCAGCTTAGGCAAGAAACTATACAACAAGCCCCATCTTTTTTATTTCCTAACAATGCATTAAATGTGTTAGAATTAAATGGCTTTTAGGCAGCTACCTAGGGAGGCAAGGTAGCTCCTGTGCTGAATAGAATGGCAGAGAACTTCCCCTTCCTACCCCAAAATTATCACATTTTGTATTTGTGCCATTCCCCAAAGATGTCTGGCAGGGACTAGCAGCCATAGTCCTTCCAGTTCCCATAGACATCTTCTTTCCCTCTCTGAAAAAAAGAAGGGAAATTAGTTGTCACCCTTAAAAAATATCGTAATGGCATTTATTTTTTTTAAAGTTTGAACTATTCTTGGGGAAAAACTCATCTGAAGATATGGTAGTGAAAGGCTTTTCCTAATCAATTTGAATCATCTTAGAAAAATAACTAGAAAGATGCTTTGGTTCGGAAGAACAAATATTTGGAATTTGGATGACTCATCAAAACTAGGCCCCCCATGGCTCATTCAGTAACGAAAGTTTCTATACTATAGCACTTATCCTAATGTAAACTCAGTTCTCCTTCATATTTTCTATTTTCCTTCTCAATTTTTTTTTTTTAACAAAACAATATGGGAACAAAAGTAAAAAATGGAACCAAGAACCACAAAAGCTGCAAAAGCCCCTCCTTCTAAAAAGGACCAAGAATATTTGACTTAGTAGTATTATATATATATATAGATCTATATTCTCCCCCCACAATCATTGGAGGTCTCTCTTGAAATCTGCTTCAGTTTGCCTGACATCTGCTTTGGAAGCAGAGTACTCATAATTCAGACTTTCCAACTAAGATGCACTTATTGCCAAGGTTAAGGAAAGGAACAGTATAATTTCCAAGTAGTAATACAGAGGCATAGTTACAAGCTACTGATTGTGTCACAATCACCCCAAAAACTTTTTGTTCCATCTTGATATATCCTTCAGACAAGTTACAAAATATATGGAGCCTTTTGATGAACACAGAAATTGATTTTTGCCATGACTGACCCTCTATGTACAGACATTACTGGGAAATGCAGACACCAAATGTGCATCTTAATGTGTTTAAGACGTTGTTGGTGAAAGCATAAAAATCTGTACAAGGATGTTGTGCTGTAGTGGAAAATCCCAATAAAATCAAACACAAAAAGGATGAAAGAAAAGAACATGCTATGTGTCAGTAAGCAAAAGCTTAGTCTTCATAGAGATCTTGAAAATCACAAGGTATTCAAAGGCGTGCAAGGTTTTAAACAAATTGTAGGAGAAGGAAGGTAGAGAGACAGTCTTCCAGTATCGTTTTTCTCATGACAGAAATCCACCATTGGGAAAGAGAAACAGGGCCATGCTGTCTTCATGGTGTTGGCTCTCTCGTTAGCTTTTGTTCCTCTCTTATAATCCGGTGGTCTTAATTCCTATAAGGAAACAACAGGAATTACAATAAGGATCATGAATTGTAACACTTCATAGTTTAAAGGTCTCAACTGAGGTAGAATCATGCCATTCTTATTCTGTATTACTTTCATTCTGTCCTACGTAAATAAACACAGAACATAGAACTATTTGGATCTAGGGACAGATGGGGGGAAAGACATCAGGCTCTGCACCCGTTTCCAGTCTCTCCAAATTATCATCTGAAGACAGCCTCCACAGGTAATTGTATAAACTGAAAGGAAGAGCAAAAACTTTAAAAGGAATAGAGGTCCCGGATTTGCTGGAAGACCAGTCTTAATTCATACGCTTTAAAAATTATGGGTTGGATACACATTACATTTTCCAGTGGCAGAATGGAACTCTCTTCCCTACCCACACTGACTGCAGCTCACTGATCCCACAAAATGCTGCTTCGGGCAGATAGGGGACCCTGTGGAATGACATACGGGGGAATTGGTGGAAATGACCAATTTAGTTTGGATTCAGTCTTCTGTCTTAGACTTCTACAATTCTCAAGAAATGACATCCTACCCCAATATGTCCAAATCCTGCTTACTACATATTAGTTCATGTAGCATCCACTCTTCCTAACATGAAACGTCAGATCTTTCCCCCCAACTCTCTCCTCTCTAAGTTTTTCTATCTTAACTAATCATTTTACCATATATGGGGAAGCTTTGCATAACATAGCTCAAGCAAGTGGTGACATGATGAAATCCCCACATTGGCAGGCAAATAACTCCTTATTTTTATTATCCATTTTCAACCTTCAGTTTAAGTTATGAAAGTAATTCCCACATGTAGACCTGGAAATACCTTTGAATAGTTGCTTTTAACTAACAGGGAGAAATGCAAATGAAGAACTCCAAAACAAACTCAAGCCAACGTTAGATCAAAATTTCAGTTCACAGAATGCAAAGTATGCCAAAGTAAGAATTATAAAAAGAAGCAGTACATAGGAAATGTTTACTGTCCCCAGCAGTTTGTTTTAACAGGTATTACCAGACTGATCTTAGTGTGGGCAGATAGGTACAATGTCATGTGTGGACACAGCACAGGTTTTCTGCAGCTACCTAGAGACCTGTTCAAAGCATAGTGTTTATGTTTCATTTATTTAAGTAGGAAGGAAAAGCATTTGACAATAATGGTAAGGGGGAATTCAATATTAACATGGCTGTAAAGGGCACACAGAAAATATTTATTAAAACAGGAACTTTATTGATATTAGTAAATTAGTAAATGTAAAATCAAACCGAATGCTGACATCTTTGAACTCAAACTTAGTTTAACATAACTGCAGGAAAGAAACCTTTAGCTTGTCATTCAGATGCACCTCAAACCTCAGGACTGAACTACAGCATCAAGCCAAATCGGAGAATGCAATTCTTACTTGCTGTGGTTTCTAAGGTCTGTATTTCTATGGTTCCATATGACTTCTCTACTTTTTAGTTACAACTATTCTACTCTTGAAGTGGATGAGAAAGAAAATGTTATGAGAAAATGGAAGAAAAAACAGATTGCTTACCAGTAACTGGTGATCTTCGAGTGGTCATCTGTGCATTCACACCAATGGGATCTAGTGCGCCTGCGCTGGATCTGCCGGTGCCTAGCAAGCTCTCTTAGAAGGATTTTCGTGCCTGGCCCAACTGAGCATGCTCAGGAGCCCCAGTGAGCATGCCCAGAAGGGCAGGCACGGACATCCCGCCAGTTCCTACCAACCGCCGCGCCTCAATCTCCTAACAAAACAAGTAGAAGAAGACAGCAGCGGGGCAGGAGGGCGGGTGGTGTGAATGCACAGATGACCACTTGAAGATCACCAGTTACTGGTAAGCAACCTGTTTATCTTCTTCGTGGTCTCTGTGCTTCACACCAATGGGAGATTAGCGAGCAGTAGTTTACCTGGAGGCGGGTGCTGTCAGGTGTTTACTGCTTAGCCGAGGCCAAAACCTGACGTCCCAGACTGTCACTGGTGGACTGGCGGACGTCTAGGGCGTAGTGCCTGATGAATGTAGTCGGCGTGGCCCAGGTTGCGGCTCTGCAAATGTCTTGCAGCTGTACTCCCTTCAGGAATGCAGTAGATGTGGCTACAGCCCTGGTGGAATGAGCCCGGACGGGGCCTGGCAAGGGCCGTTTCGCCAGTAGGTAACAGAGTTCTATGAGACCTACGATCCACCTGGACAGACGTTGGGCCGTGATTGGAGTGCCCACACGGGGTGCAGCGTATGAGACAAACAGCTTAGGGGTTTGCCTCGTGGGGCGTGTCCTATTCAGGTAGAAGAGGAGGGCCCGCTTCACGTCTAGC